AATCTTGCGAATTTCAAACAAACCAGATTTGCTGTAATGCAGTAACAGGGAAGAAATAGCTCAAGCACAAACTAGGCATATTCATTTGAAAGGAAAAGGTAGCAAAGCTAATGCATCCTCGATGACAAAGGAAATAAAATAAAACAGAAACAAGAAGCTCATTGTGATGAAAGTTGATGAGATATTGGTCTTAATATTTGGGAAAAACCAAAAGAATGCAGATGCTGCAAATCAGAAACAAAAACAAAGTTGCTGGAAAAGATCAGCAGATCTGGCAGCATTTGTGAAGAAAAAATCAGAGTTAATGTTTCAGGTCCGGTGACCCTTTCTCAGAACTCTGTGTTAATATTTGGGTACATCAGTTCTAACTTGAACAGGACTTTGTATGCTTAAAGTTTGATTTATACTGAGGGCCTTAACTTCATTGCATTCTGAGTGTGGTGATGGGTATCTGGAAATGTGTTTACATGCATTTAATTGAGAGAGAACAGATCTATGGCAGCAGAGGAGTTATGAGCTTAGCAGTCCCCAAAGCAGTTTGAGCTGAGAAGCCCCCAAGTGGTTTAATGTCAGTAAGAAAAAACTCCAGAAACAGAAGGCTGAAGAAGTGAAGTTTAAGGAATCCTTGTTAAGAAACAAGTGAACTGTGTAGGCAGCTTGTTCAAAGGTCTCATTGAAGAGACATTAACTAAAGATGATACTATCAAGTGAATACAGATGTTTGCTGAAAAGAAACTAAGTACAGCTGTACCAACTGAACAAGGAATTTTAAAGTGAAAATAGGAATGACCCTTCCTGAGGTTTAAGCATCTGTTAGATTGTTGGGAAAACAAAAAGGGATGAATCTTTATTTCTGATATTTCTTCCAAGACTGTTTCAGGTAGTTCTTGTATAGTGTAAAATAGTGTTTTATTTTCTAAATGCTATAAATTTTAATTCTTTTTTGCTAAAAGTGTATTGACAGCCTTTTGTGAATATCTTAATGACCAAGTTGCAAAATTAAAACTTATAGTCTATCAAGCTAGGTTTCACTCTGGATTTGACTTACCATTATTCCCATCAGCTGGTATCACAACATCCATGATAACTATCAGGATCAAGACTCAGTTAACAACCAGAAAGATGATGAAAATTACAGGAGGGTATTCTTAAGGTTAACATGGAAGGCAAGATGTCACAACATAAGATTGCTGGCATCTGGAACTCTCTACCGAATAGGGTAGTGGGAAATGATTCCATAAAACATTTCTGTAAGAGTATGTCAGGCACTTACGATGACAAACCTACAGGATTACAGACATAAATTAGGGGTGTGGGGCCAAGTACAACGGCTCTTTCAAAGTACCAACACACAACTAGAACTGGCTGACTGGCTTCTATATTGTCATGCAAGTGGAAGTAATTGCACAAGGATAACAAGTGAAAGTGAGCTTTAAGAAGGGAACTCCAGACTTTGGGACTTGGAAGGAGAAAAGCATAGCTTCATATTGTTGTATGAAGGGTGTCAGACTATACGGGGAGGAACAAAACGGCAACAGCTTCCAGCTTAACAAGCAAATTATTGTACAAACAGCTCCAACAGATTAAACAAACTATCTTCTCAATCCTTTCCTTAAGGCAAAGGGTTAACTGGATACTTCGCTGTTTGCATTTACGTGTTCAATTTGAATACTGAAATATTATTCCAATATTCTATTCTCTACAGTCAAAATTTTGACTGGAACAGAACACAAAACTCGACAAATGTAAATTGTGTAGTTCTATCACTTCACTGAGAATATATTATACCAGAATGTCAATTTTGTTTACACCCTCTGAAAATTTCTAAGCGTTGTTTTACAATAAAAGGAAAAACAACGGAATTAGGCAGCCATGGTTGTTTGTTATAAATGCAATGTATTTTGTTTCAACTAGCTTTTGGTATTCCAAAATTTGTGGATGAGTTGACATGCCAAGCTAAAAACCTGCCAATTGCTTTGCCTTGTCATGTCACACTGTATTTTCTAGTATGTCCTGAGGGAGAAAAGGTTTATAAATGCAAGCAAGCGATTCACTTCAACTTGACAAATGAGCTCTCCACATATACACACATGGAATACAAATGAACTTATACCAGAATAAGATCAATCAAAAAAACCAAAGTATTTAAGGAAAATGGAAGCAGAATATAATAAACCTTTTGAAGTCCATACACATCTGCATCAAAATAAACACAAAATAAGTTTTTAAAATAGTTATAAATCTATGATGAATCAAATAAGATTTAGTAAATCTACATGGTTCAAATTTTCTCTCAAATATTCCTACATTGTGGGGGGCCAAAAGCAGCATTGTAGAGAGTGATCAACTATATTTCTATTTGCACTGGTAATGGAATTTTTAAATCGGATTCTAACTAATCTTCGTAAACTACTCCGAAAACATGAAGAACAAAATGACAGATGCAATTTGGACGTCATAATATTCACCCATAAATATGGTCAACCTTATTGAAATATTTGCTACAATTAATCAGAGAATTACCCCGGCAGAATTTGAAATCGATGAGCAAAACTGTTCAAACATTCATTGTAGCAGTACCATGTTAAGAAAATATATAAATGGTTCTCAGGTGTAAAAAGAATCAAATCACATGACTAACCCGACGAAACACTAGTTTAAAACCCCCCCAAAAAGCCTAATTTAACTTCGTCATCCACAAATCAAATCTATCACTCAATGTATCATGCATTACTCCCTAAAATGTCAACTTGCAGCTCCTGAGCAATAGGATAATCGGAAATTCAGCATACTCAAAATTGTCACGTCAGACATCTCCTTACAAATAATGAATAATTCTTATTAAAAAGAACAAAAATGCGAATTATAAATTGCCATAATTAATTATAAATGCTGATTACAAATCCAAAAGTGGTAAACATTTCATAAATAGCAAAGTAGCTAATGTATCAGGGATGCCATGCGGCTCTCATTTTTCTTCAAAAATTCTGAAAATTATTTGAAAGGTGCTGCAATCTAAAAGGGGAAAAAATAGCCATCAGTACAGCTGGTTGAATGTACAATACTCCCTGGTAAATTAGGCACTCAGCCCATATTTATGCAGCACCTTGTAAATTCAGTGTATAGAATCACAGCTCCCAGCAAAAATTCCAAACCAAGAAACTGAGGTTTCTGAGTTAAAACCAATAAACCAACTTGAGGCAGGCAGGCACAAAAGAATACTTAATCAATATGTTTAACCATATTGTGAAGTGCAAATTTCCTTTGCATATTAATTTTATTTTTGTTGCAAAGTTCGGTAGCGTACTTGTGGGTTGGAAGGCAGGGCGTTGGAATTCAATGTTTGTAAAATATTGGTGTTTATAAAATGATAGGTGGGAAAGCAGTGAGTGATCCCTTTAAAAGAGGATATGCTTTTTCTAGGCTTGGAGATTAAAAAAAATGCCCACGTGTAGGTTATGGACTTGCATGTGCAGGTTATAGACTTGCATGTGCACAGAGCACCTGAGTTGTAACACTTATATCAAAAAGCTGGATGTTTTGATATCAGGACAAGAAGTTGGCATTTAGCCAATTAATTTAAACCAGGCACTTAGATACTAAAAACAAATGAAACTTAAATCAGATGGTTTTGACAACATAGGGCCAATCCTATTGTAAGAAACCAATATGTCATCAAGGGTATAAAATACAAGAACAATTGCAAAATCAGCAGAGAGCGAACTGTCATCTGCAAAGAGATCAGCTCTCTCAGCTCCTAGAGAAAGCATTATCTAAATAAAGGTACTGCAGCACTTTTAATTAATATTCCTGGCAGAAGATCAATGGAGAAGACACAGAACATTCCAGAAGATGTAACCTGGCTGTAATTTTGATAGACTAAGTTCTATTTTTTTTTACTATTTCGGTTTATCTAAGTGGGACTTGTATTTATTAGAACAGCATTCTATTAGAATTTTGTTTCATTCATGGATAGTTAGTAGTTAGAGGGGAATCGTTTGGTTAGTTAATAGTTCAGTTAATTTGTTCACTGTTCGAGTTAAATAAATAAATTGTTACTTGTTGATTACAGAGTGAGTGTCAGGTGTTTACTTCTTTTGACCACTCCTTTATAACAGATTGGGGGTGAGAGGCAGGTTATACCATTTTTCATACTTCTTTTAACAGATTATAGGGTGAGGCGAGTCTCTCTGGGTGTTTCAGTTTTAGTTATCGGGGTGGGGGATTTGACATCTGCATTGTAACACTTTGAACATTTGAAATTTCCCTTAATGAGAAAAATGGCAGATCAATAATGTTTTAAAACAACATACAATTTGTTGCACAAATGGTCGGTTTGTGTAATTGGAAAATAAGCTTTTCACATGTAAAAGAAAGACAAGCCTTTGTTTTTTCTAGAATTGATCATTCCAGTGCTCTCCTGGACAGGGTCTCATCTTCCACCCTCCATGAACTCATCCAAAATTCTGATGTGCATATCCCAAATTCCAGCATTCTGCTTCTTGACCTGCACTGGCTGTTGGGTCTGGCAACAATTTAATTCTAAAATTCTCAACCTTGTTTACCAAGACCTCACCCCTTCCTACTTTTTGAAATCTCTTCAGCTCTGCCATTTTCAGACCTCATGCACAGTCCCAATTTTAATCACTCATCCAATTGCCTGAAACCTCAGCTCTGGAATCTCCTCCATAGATTTGTCTTACTACTTGCCTCCCCTCTAATGATATTCTTTAAAATCTATTTCTTCAGTCAAGCTTTTGGCTAGCTATTCTAATTATCTCATATGGCTTTTGTGCTACACTTTCAAGTGCAACTATATCTCACTAATAAGAAGGAGGCTTGAATTTTTCACTGTTCTCCAGTATATACTCGTGAAGGTTTTATAAAAATTCATTCAACTACACTTCCAAGATGCACCTCGGAACATTTTGCCTTGCATTTAAATTTTTATCATTTTCTCATTTTACACTTACATATCAAACGTAAGATTCAGGACTTACCACCTCTCCAAGAGAAGCAGCAATCATGTGGACAAGTGGAGCTTGTTTTGTTGACACGCATAAGCCCAGTACAGATTTTGTATAGTCATAGGTAACGAAGAAAAGTGCAGCTGAAATTAAACATATACAGAAGAAAAATGTTCTAGTCAGTCTAAAAGTAATGTTAACAAATTCTGATGGCAATGGAAAGTGAATTCACTACACAACTAAGCTGATTGCTAATCAATCTGCAAATCCTTCTAATAGACTTCAGCAGGCAACAGGTGTGGATACATCTCCTGGGCAGTCATGCTTGACACAGTGTTGCCTCTCAGGTTATACCTCTGGTAACCTGTTCCAGAAGAAATTAGTCATGGAAACAGATACAGGCTTAAAAATGAAGAAAATGTTATTTCAAGCAGAAGATTACGATTTTAAAGCAAAACATGTTTTGAGAGCTGGCAGCTCTCTTGCCTACTTGGATGACAGGTGCTGAAACACTTAATAATGAGCAAGGCAAACTAATACATGCCTTGAAAAGCATGTAAAGTAAGGAATACCAGCTAGATGTCAGCCAGGTGCATTAGCGTAAAAGCTCTATTGCAAACTATGCATAGAAGGCCAAGTACAAAATACTACAGCTGTGTCACTACAAGTCACAATTACAACATTGACAGTTTTCAGTACATTATAGATGCAGATCAAGCCATTCATAAATTTACCAAAATATTGATGGCCCATTGGTGCTAAAACTGGTCTTTGATCACAGTGCTGTATGACTTACTCCTTTGTTATCCAGAAGTAACTGCACACCATCAATTGAAATTCACTTCCAGTCAGCAATATGAAATGCTGTTCCATGGAAGAGAATCACAAGAATGCACCAAGATATTTCCAGCAACTTATTCAACTGGGATTCCCTGTTAGTTAATGTACAATTGACATGTGGAATCAACTTATCTTTTTTAAAGAAGGTTATTGCATCAAACATGCATTTTCTTTAATCAAGTATGCTTTCTGTAGCACTTTAACCTCAGTCAGAAGCTGGTGAGCTCAAGGTCCCATCCAAGGACTTGAGCACATACATCGGGCTTACACTTCATTGCAGTATTAAAGAAGTGCTGCATTATCATTTGGGTCTTGAAATTTCAAATCAGTTTGTTTTCTCAGCTGAACATAGAAGACCCCATGAAACAACTCAAAGCAGGGGTTTGGTCCCAGTGTCCTGGTCAATATTCATTCACAATCAGAACCTCAAATAGATTAGCTGATCATTTATTTCCTTACAGTTCGTGGAACTTGTGCATATATTGTCTTTCTATATATTTTACATTTATATTCTATACATGGAGGCTAATTTTCAAACTCTGAAATACTTCAGGAATTAACAATGCTTTTTTTTTTTTTTAAAATAAACCTTGCCAGCAAACTTAATTCCCAGCTTTGTGAGAGAGTGGTGGTGACCGGAGGAGAATGAGACAAGTAGCATGAGAGAGATCGTGAGCGATTGCATATTTTATAATACTGCTTCAAAAGGTTTAAATAAGAGATCAGAGATTTTGCTGATTGAATAGCAATGTGAAAACACAGGAATGTCGTCTCGCCTTTTGAAGTAAAGCATTTGCACTAAATCTTGGAACATGCATTTGAAAAATAAAACAATTCCATTGACTATGTCTAAAATGGAAAATGTCTGAAATGTCTCATCTATAAAAGTGAAAAATTCAGAATTTTCAATGAGGTATTTTCTAAAGTTGCATATAAATATCACTGCACTAACCAAGCAAACGTACAACAAAATCCTTATCAATTTCATTACAATTGTAGCTAGTTTGAAGCTTATTTTCAAAAGTGCCTGCTGAGATTTAAGCTTTTCTCATATTGAATCAAAATGTCTTTTAAAGGTTAAAGGTCTGTTTAAAAAATACAATGTCCAGAATATAGCAAATATCTTAGATGAAAATGCATATGTTTTTAAAATACTAACCAATTAAGAGCTATCACTTCATATAACCACTGAAAATACAAAACCATAACCATTCATGCACTACTGCTATCGGGTAATTTTTTAAAACTTTTATTGCTTTATTTGTTCACTTTTCTTCTTGCAGTAAGAAAATCCCTGCTATAATTCAAGAATGAAAGCTTATTAACAGTGCCAAAAACAGTTTACCACTGATTTTAGATAGTGATTAGTCTATCACCTGATTAGCCCAATTTTAAAATAACTCGAACTTGCATGGTCTGTTTTCTAAATTTTCAGTATTCTAAATGTGTTTGCTTTTTTAAAAAGCTGCCAAAGCACTCTGGAACCTGAAATAAACTGAATTATTACATCATCCTTGCAGACCTTCAAACAGGTGCAAATAGTGTAAATTCATTGTGTAATTCATTTAATTTGTGGATGGCGTCAGCTTTTTAAGAGAATGTTGCTTTCGTTACTAACATAAAAGATTGCAGACACCTGATGTGCACTGAATCTTACTAACTGATTGTAGAATAATATAGCAGTGAAAACGAGTCCTTCCATCAAGTCTGCGTCAGCAATTTGGCTACTCACATATTGCTGAATCTTTTCACAAAATCGAAGGAATTTTTTTTTGCCTTCAAATATTTATCCTAGTCCTTTTGGAGACAATGATTGAAATCAGATTTATCCCAACAATGTTTTTGCATGTAAAATTTTCCTCATGTATTTTGCCAATCATCTCAAATCTGTATCCTCCAGTACTCCATCTTTCCACTGATGGAAGCAGTCTATCTTTAATTTCTCTATTTTCAGCAATTCCATCAAATGTTATGCTAACTTTATCCAAGAACAATTTCTCAACTTCTCCAGTATATCTGGATAACCAATGTTCCCTGAACCCAGAAGTTCGAACACAGGCTGAGCTCAAGTAGGCCTCTTCAGTTACTGTGCAAGTGCGACCTTGCAAAAAAAAAATTACATGCATTTAAATTAATAGACTACATTTTACAACTTAGAAAAGGCAGCATAAACGCAATCCCTTTTTCCTGGAGCATAACTGGAAAATCTCCTTTGAACGATCTCCAAAGTGTTCAGATCTCTCCTGGAGTGTGGTGCCTATACGTAGGCACAATAATCCAATTTGAAGATCTTCAATATTTTCTATGGGTTTGCCCAATCTTGAGCAAAAACAAACCCACAAAAACATGGAAACTATACTCCATACTATTTCCTCTGTATAGCCACAAACAAAACCAGAAGAGATCCACATGGTCTCCACATCCCAATTTTCCACCAAGTGAATCAATTTCCAGACTGGAAAATCTATTCACTCACCAGTGATTTCTAAGCAGGAATTTTCACTTGCACATTAAACTTTGATCAGCATATCTTTGTGTAACTTGACTTCCAACCAGCAAAGCTACATTTTTGAATTTAAAAATTAAACCCTTATTTAAAACGAGATTTCTCTCTCGCTGTCTCCTCTTCCTCTGCCCACATAACTGTGTACCATCAACAGAGAGGACTGTTTCGAAATCAATACAAAGTCATGTGATTCCATACTATTGCCATTAAAGGTGATTATACTTCATCAAAATGAGTGATTTTTAAAACCAGCTTTACTCAAGGCAAAGCATCAACTTCAGGCTCAGTAATGAATTAACATTCAAATGATCATTGAGCATTTAGGTAAATAATACAGTGATATATAGATTTTTTGAATTTAATGCTGGTTGTAAGAGAAAGAAAGGCTGGTGAATATTGGTTTTAATTTAACAAGTCGACTGTAAGTGCTGACATTTAAAGTTAATTAAGCAAGCTAATTACTACTGAGGAGCAGAAAACTTGCCTTTGTTTCATGGATGAAAATCTAATTGTTTATCGCAACTGTTAGCTGATGGACTCATGACTTTTGAAGGTAACCAACAAATTATTTTCCAGTGGACTTTTCATATTAAACTTCATTCTTATACGCTGATGCAGCTAATCAGTGACAGAACCATTCAGTGCTTAGTTCCAAATCATTAGCGGCTACTTATTTCAGAGGAATTAAGTTTAGGGTTCTGACATTGACGAGCTATGTACAGCATTACAAAACTAGCAGCACCTGGCAAAAGACATCTCGTTTGTGGCACTCCTGTCAAAGGTTTTATCAATAAATGAAGCAAACAAAACAAAACAAACAAAAACAAACAAGGTACTTAAAACTTTAAAACATTTACATCTTTAAACCTTAACATATCATTTTGTGAACACTAAAATTAGGTGACTTAGCCAGGGCCAGCTGATGAATTTCAGTTCCAAGTTAGTAAAGCAGTGTGATTGTATGCTGTTTCATGCTTATTCCTCATCAAGATGAACAGCATCAATTGAACATGAACCATTTTTGCCCTCTTGATCCTTGGCATGACAAAAACTGCTGATAAAGTGCACATATTATTGCAAATTCATTTAATTTTACTCTCAAGAATTTATCTTTTTGGATTTGTGTCAAAGTTTCATCCAAAACAATTATGAGTTATGCAAAAGATTATACAACACCGAATTCTAGATTTTAAAAATTAAAATCTATTGGTAAATTAACTGTCTTTCATACCCAAAAAGGAAAAAATACCATTTATGATTCTGTTTAAATAGGACAACAATCTTGAAAGGATAGTAAGAACTGCTGGTGCTGGAGTCTGAGATAACACAGTGTCGAGCTGGAGGAACATAGCAGGCCAGGCAGCAGAGGAGCAGAAAAGCTGACATTTCGGGTCCGGACCCTTCTTCAGAAATGGGAGAGGGGAAGGGGGCTCAAATAAAGAGAGAGTGGGGGGCGGTGATAGCGGAACGGATAGGTAGGAGAGAAGATAGACAGGTCAAGGAGGCGGGGATGAAGCTCATAAAGGTGAGTGCAGGTTGGTAGTGGTGGGGATTGGTCAGTGAGGTGGGAGGAGCAGATAGGTGGGAGAGAAGACAGACAGGTCAATATCCGCTGTTCCCAATGTGGCCTCCTCAACATCGGGGAGACCAAGCGGAGGCTCAGAGACCGCCTGGTAGAGCAACTACGCTCAGTTCGCGACAAATGAAAACACCTCCCAGTCACGAACCACTTTAACTCCCCCTCCCACTCCCTGGATGACATGCCCATCCTGAGCCTCCTCCGGTCACAACGATGTC